CTATTTTTGTGTGTAACTGTGACACGAAAAGTTCTTGGTGAATTCTTGCACATATACTTTTCTCTATTGCAATGTTTAACTATAATGCAGATAATTATTACAGTATATATGTCTCTGTGTCATTTGTCATTTAAAATGAGATCATTCATAATGAATGGAGAGGACATTGTGTTAGGCTGTGTCATCACATTGTATAACATTGGATTGATTTGGAAATATTGGTGGGGTTTTTGGTAAGATCTAAAACATTTTATTATTAGATCTTTAAATGAAGGGTACAAAAATGGGCAGTTATCTAATTGTACACAAATACAATGTCTCATAATATGTCTTCGAAAAGGTAATTCACCAGACAATATTTAAAGAATTGGAGACCTAGTGTTCTTCTGAACATAATTTATAGATTAGCATCTGCATGTATTGCAAATAGATTGAGATTAGTTTTAGACTCTATAATTTCTAAAACACAAACAGGTTTTTTAAGTGGGAGATACATTAGGGCAAATACACGCTTAATATATATGACATAATGAACTATACAAAGCGAAACATGATATTCCTGGACAACTTATTTTTATTGATTTTGAAAAGGCTTTCGACTCTGTGTCATGGGACTTTCTTACAAAAGTATTAAGGTTTTTTAATTTTGGAAATAGTATAAAGAAATGGATACAGGTTTTTAATACAAATACTTTCTCGGCTATCATACAGAATGGTTTTTATACAACTTTGTAGGCATAAAAAAGGGGCTGTAGACAAGGGATGCAGTATCATCTTACTTATTTCTTTTGGTAGCTGAAATATTAGCTATATTGGTAAAAATAATAAAAGCTTTAAGGACATAAACATAAATAACAAAAACACAGGCTCTCACAGTTCGCTGATGACACATCCTTTATTTCAAATGGCACAAAATCTTCATTCATAGAGGCTATAAACATGTTAGATAATTATGCTAAAATATCAGGGTTAAAATAAGAGATACAGGAACTGAACACATTAAAACTGTTCATACAGAAAAAGAATGTTTGAAAGACGTTTTTGAAGCATGGATCAAAGTGGCAGAAATGACAAATATTCAAAATTTTGATTACCTTTTAAAATCGCCGATATGGTACAATAGAAATTTTAAGATTAGGGGACCGCAGATTAGGGACCGCAGAACCAAATTATTTTCCATAGAAGATAGTATTAACGTTAACCACTGTCCTGGTTAAATGGGGTTATCCACACTGGTTCAGCAGCCCTCATTTTGAAGAATGTCATCTCACACACCTGTAAAAAAAATAGATTAAAAATTCTACCTATTTGAACTTTTTTTATATGGGGGCCGCCATTTTGTATTGAATTCGGCATCAAAAATTGATCAAAACTTACAACAAATTAAACACTTAATAAACTCCCCCAGACAAAAACAGACTTGCACATTATTTTTTTTATACATTTCACATCTATCTATATTGCTCAACCCGCACATAAAACTTTTGAAACTTTTGCCACCTTAATATCCAACCAGCAGGCCCCGAGGCATTCACCTTCCTATCAGAGGAGGTGTTTCGTTTTGCACACGGCACGCAAATACAGACTATATTACCGATCGCCGGATGTCGGTTTGTCAGTTCAAAAATGGCGGTCGAAGTGTCAACATCAACAAGCTCTTGGTTAGATTCCTCTGCCTTCCTATCAAATCTTCTGCCCAAAAGGGAAAAAACAACAATCTATTTTTGATTTGGTTCCGTGGTCCCTATACAGATTTAAAAAAAAAAAAAAAAAAGTATATACTGTTACCTCTGGTAATTTTCTACAGTACAGAAGCATTTGCAAATCAATTATTCAATTAAAACATGCATGAGAGATAATGATATGATCAAATAATTAATTTATTGAAAGACCATTTATACCCTTTCACATTAATGTAATATTAGGAAGTAAAAAGGGAAGTAGAGATATGTAGAACACCCTTATTAATAGAAGAAACCTAACTAATACAGCAAAGGTAAAATGGCTATCTCATTAATTTTTCTCCACTGTTAACTGAAGATCTAGTTTCACACTCCCTTTCAATATAACAAGAAACACTAGCATTCAATGGTTCATTTTCAGGCTTCTGTCAAGAACACTTCCTCTTAATCCTTTACGTAGATTGATATCCTTACAAGCTGACCAAACATTCGAAATACTCTTTGCCAAAACTTCTGAATTTCAAAAATACATTCCAACTAATATCACCATGATTCATGCTAAACTCTTTATTTTCCTTAGCTCCAGAAAGAAAAGAAACCCTGGTGTGACTGAATTTAAAAAAAAAAAAAAAATATTCAATGTACACGAGATTGACAAGGTAATAGCCCACGGGAGGGATGAAATTGAGACCTTTGAAAAAACATGGGAATCATTGCCGAATATTTTTATACTCTAAAGCTAAAAATGTTACAAGCCTATAATATCTTATTTTAAATCCTCTATGGGTAAAGAAATGAATAAACCTAGTTGACACTCGAGAATACTTTAGAACTATATCATATATATAATATCAATTCAGTATATATTAACATACAGTTAAGATATAATATCCTTTTTATCTTTGATAGCATATAGAATATTCTAAATTGTATATGTATATATATTATAAAGGTATACACTTGTATGATATTCTATATGCAAAATACGGTGATACGAAACTGATGATTTACATATAATCTTAAATAAATTAAAACGAAATCACATGAAATATAGCCATGTGTATACATGTTTATGTTTTTGTTCGTTTATGTAGTATGTTTATGTACGTATGTATGTATGTATGTATGTATGTACTTGCACATTCTTAGACATGGGTATCTGTGTAAACATCTGTATGTGTGCATATATGGGTGCATGCGTGTATGCATGGGTGTATGCATCTATGTGTTTATATACGTTTCTGCATGCATACATATGTATATGTATGTGTGAATGTATGTATACCTTGAAACTATTTGTATGTGTCTCTGGTAACTATATGTATATATCCCTGGTAACTGTTTGTATGTGTCACTGGTAACTTCATATATCCCCATGGTAACTGTTTGTATATATCCCCGGTAACTGTTTGTATGCGTCAATGGAAACGTCGTATATCTCCACGGTAACTGTTTGTATATATCCCTGGTTACTGTTTGTATATATCCCTGGTTACTGTTTGTTTATTTTCATGGAAGCTGTTTGTATGTGTCCCTGGTAACTGTTTGCATTAATCCCTGGTAACTATTTGTATCTGTCACTGGTAACTATCCGAATATTTCCATGATAGCTGTATATCCCTTGTAATTATTTGTATATGTTCCTGGTAGCCATTTGTATGTTTCTCTGGTAACTGTTTTTTTTTTTTATATTTCCCTGGTAACTATTTGTAAAATATATCTGGTAACTGTTTTTAAATGGCAATGGCAACAATTTGTATGTATCCATTGTAACTGTTTGTATAGCTCAGTGGTAACTATTTGTATGTATCCATTGTAACTGTTTGTATAGCTCAGTGGTAACTATTTGTATATCTCCCTGGTAACTATTTGTAAAATGTATCTGGTAACTGTTTTTAAATGTCAATGGCAACTATTTGTATGTATCCATTGTAACTGTTTGTATAGCTCAGTGGTAACTATTTGTATGTATCCATTGTAACTGTTTGCATAGCTCAGTGGTAACTATTTGTATGTATCCATTGTAACTGTTTGCATAGCTCAGTGGTAACTATTTGTATGTATTAATGTAACTGTTTGTATAGCTCAGTGGTAACTATTTGTATGTATCCATTGTAACTGTTTGTATAGCTCAGTGGTAACTTTTTGTATGTATCCATTGTAACTGTGTGTATAGCTCAGGGGTAACTATTTGTAAATATCCAATGTAACTGTTTGTATAGCTCAGTGGTAACTATTTGTATATCTCCCTGGTAACTATTCATCAACAGTCCACAAGGACACTGTGATAGTCCTTGTCATTGAACACCAGTGAGTACGATCACTATTCACATTGAATTGCTTCAGCTTAGTTTTGTATCCGTTTTATTCTCGAGAGGTCGGATGAGTATTGATGGAAACTCATTGATTTTCCATAAATTGGAATAATTGAATGATAGTCTGTGTAAACCCTTACACTGAACACTTTTTATCGACTTATGAATTCGGTTTTGAATCCATAAGTGCAAAAGCGCTGCTTGTGCGATTTCATCTTGTATCCTGGTCCGCAATGGTTTGAACTTTGAGAGAATGCATGGTTAATGAGCTTTAACTATGGTAAGTTATGTTAATAAAAGTGTTTACCTTACCGAAAGGTATAAGAAGCAAGAAGCATTGGAGGGCTACAAACTTATAAATACTTTTTTAGTATGATAATGTTCTCTAAATATTATTCCAAGTTGCCTCATCATAATATTCAATAATCTTTCTGATTATATTAACATTATTATTTGATTTTCCTTTTTTGTTATCTCATGATTTCAATTTTTCTAATTATATTCATTGCATGAAAATTGTTTTTAGCCATTGCCCGCTCAGACATATTTATGATAGTGTATAGTATTTGGTAGAAGTTGAAATTTCCTTATTTCCTTGGACATGAAAGTATGATGCCAACGCTGTAACGTTTGGTCCGACATTAGTCGCCTCATATTTGAAGTTATGAGTTTTATTATGGTCGGTTACTGTTCGAGGTCTAACAGCTCGAATGTTTATGCAACATATACAGTGATTGTGTATCTACTTATTTTTGGTACATTAATTAAACACACGCTGTATTGTGTTTTTTTCTGATATTTTTCAGATTATTGAAATCCCTGACAAGGTTCAAATCCCAACTGAAGGCAAGAAGCGATGAGAAGACTTAGGATGAAGAGATTATTTTATACGACGATTAAGTGTTTTGTGCTATTCTTTTTCATCAGTCAAGTGCTAATAAATCTATACAGGTATATGAACCAAATTCCGTTTGATGAATTTAGATATCCCTTGGATATTGATATGCCGGCTGTGGTTCGGGCTCATCGTGCGGGGAAAGATGTAGGCATACCCACTATAAATCCATATCTTTACAATTACAAGACCAATATCTCTACGAAATGTCGACAGAAAGATTTGTTCCTTCTCTTTCTCGTCAAGTCTGCTGTCAGTCATTTTGACAGAAGGAGTTCTATAAGATCTACATGGGGAAACGAAGACTCGTTATTGACTAACTTCACATTCAAGACGATATTTTTGGTGGGAGAACAGAAAAACGCCAATCCTGGTCTTCAGAAGATACTGGAGCACGAGATCGATTATTATAAAGACATACTTCAGATGTCGTTTACTGATTCCTATTACAACAATACACAAAAGACTGTTGGTGGAATTCACTGGGCTGTCCATAACTGCAACCACGCCAGGTTCGTCATGTTTGTGGACGATGACTTCTTCGTAGCCACACATTTTCTCGTTAGATATCTTAGCACGCTCTCTTTAGCTCAACAGAAAACACTATTCGAAGGTTTTTTACAAAACGACAGGCCTTTTCGTTTTCCTTTGTGCAGTTGGTATGTCAAGTATGAATACTATCCTTACGACAAATACCCACCTTTTCTAAGTGCCGGGGCAATGATCACATCCATGCATTTGTTAAAAGATATTCAAATTGCTATGCAATATACCAAGAACTTTATATTCGATGACATATTTCTTGCTATAGTTGTGTTCAAATTAGGAATAACTCCACAGAATAACGTCAATATCTTTATCTGGACAAGGGTAGGTACTGACAGTAAAGAATTCCATAGCATGATCGCTTCCCACCATTATAACAATGACTATATCATGCAATTAGCCTGGCAAGCACATGTTAACTTTTCACGAAAGGTTATACAACTTCCTAACTTGTGACAGTAGACATCATAAATATATATATATACATATAACATATATATTACACCTTTAACTGAATTTTATCCCGTTTTACCTGTTCATAAATACTCTGTCAACCTCTAGGATACGGTTTATTGGTCAGTCCTTAGGTGTGGCTAATATATGGTAATTACCGGTGGCCGTAATGGACTTTTTTTTCTAACTGACCAAACGGAAGAAGGGATCGATCACCATCCACACCACTAATGACGATGTGTTATAAGTAAGATAATGTCAATGTAATAACTACAACTGGTAGTGCATATATTGTGACTTTTAAATGGACACGTCGAGTCGTTATTGATATTTTTGTAAATATTTCAAATGGTCACTACAACGGTCATTCACCGCCATCTTAAATCATGTCATCAACTGATTCATCTCGTGTTGGTTTACCTCAGCAAGTCTAAAATAGTGTGGCGACAATAGCTAACATCACTGATCCTAACATTATTGGCGAAGTTGTTGGTCAACTAATGAAAAACCCTTTATTCAAGACTTCATTAATGGCCAGTCTAGGCATCCCAAAATCTGATCTAGCAGATAGATGACCTTGAACAGCGTTTTGGCGATGCTGAACAGTATTCAAGAAAAAAAATGCTTAAAATTCCGTGGGTTAAAAGAGGAAGAGAAGGAAGACACACAACGGCTATCATAATTGAAGCCTGTAATAATCCTCTTGGCGTGATGGTATCAGTTGCTGACATAAGTAACTCTCACCGAGTAGGCCCCAAGTATCCAACTCATCCAAGAGACATTATAGTGAGATTCATCTCGTACTCCACCCGGGCGCAAGTCTATGATGCAAAACCCCCCTTCTACCTTAACAAGGCCCTGACCAAACAGAGATCGACTGTGAACGCCAAAGCCAGGTATCTGAAGTCCATAGGAACATTCACCGGTGCTTGGACACAGGATGGCAGAATTATCATCAGAAGTTTCGCAAGATTAAGAATAACGTTGACTTGATGTAGACTTTGCTACCATGTTTATGAAGCTTGTTGAAGATTGGAAGATTCTGATTATGAATAAGGCTTGTGAAACCCTACCACAATAACAATACAAGCTACATTCATACGTTTGATAATATCTTTCTTTGTCGTCTGTCAGTTTACACGGCACGAAGCTGATGTTATGGCGTGACGTACTTTGGCAGGTGCATTTGACTTTCCAGGATTTATAAGATCCAGAACATTGATGCTTGGTGTGAAGGGGAAATGGCTACAATGTTTGTTTAAATGATTAACCTTTATTAACATTCAACATGACGGACTTCACACGATTTCATGCAAGACCAATGAGGCATAGACCGTTTTATTAGTCTTATTCTAATATGTGTATTATATCTTACTGAAATAATTTAGAGCAGTAATTAATTAATGATATTAACTCTTTTCTAATCACACGGGTCCGATTTAATTTGTTTATATCTTCTTAACAGTATGTTGCCTAAACAAGAATATGTTTTCTATAGCGATTGGTATGAAGTATCGATCCATTTCAAACGTTTATATTTGAAGCTAAATAAGATCTTAAGTGATCACATTTGGCCTGTAGTTCGCATTTGAAAACAGATATTGAAAACATACGAAGAAATTACGTAGACATACATTCTTTTTCACATGAATCAAACAAACTAGTTCCAACAGAGACATTTAAAAATAATTTTCAAAACTTCTTATTAGTTAAACTAAAGATTCCCTGACAAAGACGTCAGTAAAATGGCATGCGTCCGAAGTTATTTAATCGAGGATAACAAAATGGACATTTTATATACCGGTAAGTTAGTTCTATCTTTGTGTCTACCGTAATTTCCTGTGGATTACCCGCTACACCGTAAAGCCCGCAAAGCCTCAAATTAGCGGCATATGTAAAAACAATTTTACAGATGGCCTGCGGCTTATGTATACTCTTATCGGCAGCTACCGACGTGCTTCATTGGCTAACACACATGTGTTACCTGTGTACGTACCTGTTACTTGTATCTATCGATGCATATCCGTGACCTTTGATGTCAAAACATTCACGAAAAGTAAAATGTGTAAGACAACGGAGGCAACAAAAAAACCACTTGGTGAACTTATATGAAGTATGTGTGTATTGTTATATCTTTATACAAAACATCAAAATCATATTATAGATCTATGCAATTATAAAACTAAGTGTAGACTCCTCGAACGGACTGAACACTTGTCGATATAAGATTTTCAACCTATAATCACATCCCTAGACTTTGTTAAAAACGTGTTGAATACGAGGTTTAATGTACAGCTTTGTTACACAGTATGGTCGTGATTGACGGAAGAATGTTTTTGAACCAGCTCATTTCACATAAACAAAGAAGTGACTTCAATTGAATAGTGAAAATATGCTGATGCAACCTTTATGACAGCCTCAAATGCTGCTTTCAAATGTGTTATTTTTTTAAAACCCGAGCAAAGATGATTACCCAGTCATTACTTTAACAGTAATTCCTATAAAGGACAACCTGACATCGAAACATGTATCACGCAGGAAAGGAAATACTCTGTTAAGTATTTGTTAATGCTAACCTATCGCTTCTACCGAGTTCTACCGCTTAGTGAAAACCTCTCTCAATCATGAACAAACTCATTTTTCATGGACCCAACGTTCTTTTCAGAAAGTATAAAATCTGACATCGATTTTTTTTACCGCACCATTTTATGTAAAATGAGATTAAATGGTTAAATTGTTAGCAGCGGCCACAGGCCTGATTCCATTCTTCTATTTTGTAGCAAACATTTTTATTTATTTTTTAAATATTTTATTCCTCCTGTCAAATATTATATATACATATAATACTGATATGGGGCAAAGAAGTAAATCCAACAGTGTTGACAAGTTTAGGTTGTCAAATAAGTATATACAGATATATATAAACAAATTGATAGGAACTGCCAGGGTTGGGGAGCCCTGGAGTCAGTCCCCTAAACAATATGGTGTCCTCACACAGAAGGGCTCTCATTCATTTTTCTCTGCTAATTTTATCTAAATTCAATTATTTCAATTTCATAACATTATTTCATCAATATAACATTCAGAAATTTGATTGGGAAATAAAATATTTGTACATAGAGTATTGGACATCTACAGAAAAAGAACATACTACAACATTTCACACACAGCACACACATCCAGACGTGTTTACATATACAACAGTATACACAAATATACATACACATATACATACGTACATAATATACACTCCTACGATCTACATACGTACATACATACATGCATACACATGCACGTACATACACACTTACATCAGCAAGTGTGCATACACATGTATGTAAATACAAACATGCATGCCCAGTATTGCATGTATCTATATAAGCACCAGAAAATACATATAATGTTCATGCACTCTACTAACCCGTATTGTTGTGTTTGTTTTTGGAGAGAAAAATATCAATCAACAAAAAGACAAATTGTAGTATACAAAATATTTTCAAAATAAATCCTTCCATTCCATCCATCTTTGATCAAATGTTTCATTGTATAATCTTTTTTTACTAATAAAGTTTTCTCAATATTATATCTGAATGCAAGAAACTCATTCAAACCATTTGAACTTAACTTCTGGGTTTTTTTCTGGAAACAGTATATATATAATATTTTGTATACAAAATGATATAGTTAATGGGCATATGAGCATTTTCAGTAAATCCAAAAAGTATTGTTTCCAACTTAAAATCAATGATTTTCCTTATTATGCTAAATAATCTCTCTTTTAAATCTTGCCATAGCTTTAAGGACTGTGGACATTCCCAGAATAGATGTTCTGTAATTTCTACTTGTATTTTACACATATGACAGATATTGTAATTTGACATCCCAATAGTATTTAAATAGTTTTTAATTGGGAGGTTACAATTTTGTAATCTGTATTGAAACCATTGAAGTGTTGTGTCTTTTGTAACTTTAAAGACAATACTATATGAACTTTTCCAATCAATATTTCTAAAAAAATCTTTCAATACCCATTTTCTTTCAGCTGTATTTACTAATTTAATTTTACTATTTGATATATATCATACATGTCTTTACAACTTTCTTTTTCTTTGTGATAATATAAATACGACTTGGTATGAAGGGCCTCTCCAAAGTTGTTTCTGCAGTTAAGTTATAACTTAATTGTTTAAAACATTGCCTAATAGACAGGCATATACTATGATAAATCAAGAAGTTTCCAGATTTTACATTGTATTTCAGTTTAAAATTTACAACAGTTAAAAAAACTTTATTTTGCTCTGATAGACCACAAACATTTTTAAACAGACTTTTTGCCAATACCAAAAGGTGGATTATACCAGATAGGGAGAGTTAAGAACTGCTTAATATATTTTACTTGTGTTACTTCTGAAACATTTACCCATGCCTGAAAAACATCCTTCAAAAAAATAGTACTGGTCTTAAATTTTATAATAAAATAAATTCCCATATCTGATATATTTTCTACTGGAAAGTGCTCTGCTTCAAAAATATGTATCCAGCTTTTACCATTATTTTTCAGTAAACTTCGTATCCAAACTAGAAATGAAATTATTGATGTTATTCATGTTAAGGCCTCCACTTTCATACTTTTTGATTATAGTATTTCGTTTAATTTTGTCAACAGGAGATTGGCAAAAGAAGTTAAAAAATATTTTGTTCAGCTGCTGAATAAAAGTGCTGGTTGGTTTAGGAATTGCAATAAACAGATGATTAAGGTTTGGTATAATTATATTATTATTTCAATACTACAATACGACCAATAGGGGTTAAACTCCTACGTGACCATTGGGTTATACTGTTATTTACATTTTTAGCGATTTCACATAATTCAAGCTTATAATCTCTTCTAAGTTAACTGATAAAGGAATACCTAGCAAATCAAATTTTGTATCCCCCCATTTTAATTTCCATCCATGATGGTAGACATCTGCGCTGAATATCCTGCTGCCAATCCAAATAAA